CACGTTGGGTTTGATACAGCTTCAAGTCTGGAAGACCAGCAATCTTGGATAGAATCTCTTGAATCAGATTCCATAACGAGTGATCTTGATTCCCATCTCGAAAAATGAGGTTGAAGGACTCGAGGGAATCAGAATACATATGGACTTGGGGGTATCCACGCCATTGGCAGATTTGGATGCCAGCAAGCATTGCTAATGGTTCAGCTTCGGTGCTTGAGGTATATCCTAATTTTTGTTTGAAGCCAAGATTCCAAATGCCATTAGAGTCTCTGATAATTCCACCACACGCTCCTTGGTGATATGAGTTGACGGATGCTAGACGAATATGGCATGGAGGGTGAGCTATCCACACAGGATCGTTGCGTTTCTCAATTCGTGCTTTCTTGGAATTTCTGTTCTTCAAAGTCATCATCTCAGTGTCTTCTTTACTTGAGATATTGCCGTTTCAATTTCAATCTAATTATGGATTCTGCAGTCCCACGAATTCACGGTCAAACCTTGTTGATCAGAATCATTGAACAAAATATTCTCACCGGACAGGTACCAAAACAGAATATTCTCTAACTCAACACCGAGAAATTTATTTATTTTGAACGACTATAATTGGAATCATATATCTAGAATTTGTCCTAAAAATATAGATAAACTCACCGAACAGGAAATGAATGTAATAGATCAAAACTCATGTATTGCATGAATAAACGAAGGGTAGTCTTTTTTTCTTTTTTTCCTCTTTTAGTAAATGGGATATTTCATTTACTCAGAGATAGCTGTACAAAGAAACGAAAGGGAACAGGACAAAAAATTACATCCAGAGCCTTAAAGTTAAAGGCAGCAAAAGAATGTAAAGTATGGCTTGCTCGAGCTCTAACTTGAGAAATACAGTGTCAATGTTGAAAGTTTCATCAGTAAATAAGTGTCGGTTTCTGATGTCCCACAGCTTCAACATTGCTGATCCCCAACCTTCTATGAGGCGTCCAAATGAGGGTTATGCAGGCAACTAATCAACCAAGAATCAATCTCCTTGCCATAAAAGTCAGTACACATATCAGCTGGTAAAATCTTCTTCCATACTGACGCTGCAAAGGGACATGATTTGATAGCTTGATTAAGATCTTCAACAGGGGCGTCGCATAAAGAGCGTTGTGAATCTTGTGTGAGTCTTCTACGAACTCTCACTCTCTCACTGTTGGTGAGTAATCTTTGAGCAGCAGCCAAATGAAAGTTCTTACCCCATGTGCCATAGGAAGCTTCCAAACTTTGGTCTAAATACCATTTGGATTGTCCCAGTTTAGAGATTCAGAGACAGTGTAAGCAGTTTTAACTGAAAAGTTTCCATGTCCTGTGAGACTCCAAGTACAAGAGTGACTCAAAGGATCACTTACTGTAATGTTAACGCTAGCTATCTGATCAAGAATGTCCGCAGGCAGCAAATGCTCATTTTCTGCTAACACAGATCAAGAAGGCACTCAACAGTTACATTTCATTATCAAGAGCAAAAGAAGAACAACAAATTAATAGTTTATAAATAGTTCTTCGTAATCAACTATCGTTAGACCAGTCTGATTCAGTTGTTGAAAATTATTGTAAAAGACTACACAGTATCCAGGGCATCCACTTAATCATACATACAAAACTTTTGAATTTTCATGATTCTTAATGCATATATATCATATATAAAACTTTTAAATCAGATATTGTGGCTTTATATACTCAATACTCATATGTTGGAAGAAATTAAACTTTCATGAAAATTGGTAGATGTGTGTTAACACACATCCACATATCCCAAAATCAACATCTCTAGAAGAGAACAAGCACAATCACTGCTTCTTCTTAATGACACTGTTCAATACCGCAAACAATAATTAATCAGATGAAAGAGCATGGAGGACCATTAATTGGCAGATGACATGTAAAGTTGCTGAAAATAATCACGATCTACTTGACCAACCACAACATGACAGGAAGAATGTTATTCTTTTATATTCATTACTATTTAGTCACAACAAACTCTTTCTCTGGCTTCCCCTACACATAAATGCAAATCCAACTAGGATATTCATTCCATCTACTCATGTTTAGTACGTATTTTTACTACCATCCTTTCATACAATTTTCAACTAACATCTGCTACATTCATCAAGATTATTCGATTCTGGACCATTTAATTATCGTAGATAATGGGCATATGTATATGGATCAAGTCTATATAAACTAGGGATTTAAAATCATGGCCCTATGGTCCATCTTCTTCTGACATATACAGCGTCTAAATGACTAGTAACCACACCAGTATTAATATTAATAGTAACCTATTGCCTAATTTCTTAAATCAGAGGTATCTATTATTAATATTCATGAGAGGAAGGTTTCAGGTGAAGACATGCTGTGAAGCCTCTCCGAACAGAGGAGACAGATTGAATTTTGAGCTTTCGTACCACAAAAAATGAGAACAAAACATTCACACACTTGGTTTGGTAAAATAAGTGAAATATGAGACGAGTTTGTGGTGATACACACACACATATATATGGTGTTATTGTAGTGCTCTAGAATCATGGAGAGGAGACCAATGGATTTTTGAGATTGTACCGTAAAAAAAAAAAAGCACACATTTCGGTGGAAAATAATTGCTTCAAATGCAGGTTTGAATGTTTTTATTTTCTTTTTGATGGAATGCACAAGCTCAAAAATCCAGAGAGAGAGAGAGAAAGAGAGATGCTTCATATGAAGGAAATTTTTGTTCCAATCAACCATTGATAGCTCGTACTCCATGTGATATGTATTCTGTTCTGTAGGCTTTGAAGGAAACAATAGTGGAATCATACTGTAATCAGATAAAAGCTCATGTGGGTTATAACGTTAGTGGAAATTAGATTCATTGCATCAAAACACAAAATCATGGCATCTTTTACTTTTCAAGCTTCGAATGAATATCCACACTTCCATTCTTAACTAATCAACTTTTGATCCATTTCCTACTCTGTCACGGAATAATAATTAACAAACAAAAACACTATATAGAAAGCCACATGCAAAGGCCACTAATGAGAAGCATCCCTACACCACCAAAATAAATATTCAGAATATCAACACACCATACATGAAAGATTATTCACTGAATATTAGAGTAGAAAAAACAAATTCATCTAACCCCACATGCAAAAACAACTAAGGGGCAATCTCAACTACAATGTAAAGGGGAATCTCAAATACAATGTAAATCTCAGAACAAGTTCAGCCAACAGACATAGATTTACTCAGTCCAGAAACATACTTGAGGAATAGATAAAACTGACCTAAGCGAAGCAAAGCTAATAAAAGAGACGAGCCAAGAGAAGAGGAAAGGAAGAAGAGACTGAAGAGGGCAGTGATGATGTGAGGGTAGGTGAAATGAAGTGAGGCTGAAGAGAAGCTTTGAGAGATGAGGGAAGCAGAAGATTGGACTCACTTGAGAAACTTTGAAAGATGACAATGGAGGAAATGATCGGGATCGACAGCCGAGAACGCGTTCGCAAGAGATGACAAACCGACAGATTTGAAATAACATGGGTTCAAAAAGTATTCTCAAATTATGAAGCAATTAGGATAACATTTGGATTTGGATTTAAGTATCCAAACAAACAAGAAATTTGGCATAAATTCAAATCCAAATCTAAATTCATAGACATCCAAACATAGCATTAAGATCCTTGAGAAGCAATAGTTTTCTACTTTTCTTTGTTTAATGGTGGGTGGTGTGGGTGTGAAAGGCCTGCCGAGCATTTTGTAATGCGTTAGTTATGAAGTTCAGCATTATTAGGTCTTATGATTGAATTGATAACGACAAAGAATTGCATTAGGAGCACTAAGATATGAAGTAGTCTAATCATTAAGGAATCAAAAGTTAAGTGAAAAGGTTGTCCAGTTGTCATCACCAACCTGCACTTTTTTCCCCCCTGAATCGGAAGGGAATGTCTTTAACATCTGGCTGGGACAACGAGCACTGGTTCTAAGATGTAACTACTAATTTTCTTTCTTTTTTTTTTTTTTGGTGGGGGAGGGAGGTTAGATTTTGAGAAGGTATTTTCTTTCAGCGATGATTTAGCAGTAATGCACCCGAAGTCTTGAACTATGGATATGTTCCAACAATTTTATCAGCTTAATTTTCCGGCTTAGGATCCGAGAAAATGGACATTGGATGCAACAAACAGGGAAGCCAGACAGTTCCAAATCTGCAAGATTTTTCACCGGCTTGTTCCATTCAATTTTCTTTGTTACTTTGAATCTTCCTAAATGGGTATATCACAAGATTGGTATAATGTCACTCCTTCCCTATAATTGTATCTTCCTTCTATTCAGTAATTCAGAATACTCCAAAACTCCATAGGTTGGATTTTGAGATTTTGCGTCTTTTATTTGGACTCAAGGAAAATTACACTTCATTCCTAATCGAGTATATAAGAAGGATAAGTTATAATATGAGAAGCAGAGATACCGGCATGCAAAAAATCAGAACCGTCCTGTCCTTTGCCCATATTCAGCTCCAACAACTCACTCAACCATGAATTGCCTGTATGGCAAGGGGGAAAAATCAAGCTCCATTCACACACAGAAGAGAGTTACCCAAAGTATCTTCATAAAATTCACTACTGAATATCTATTGGCAAATGGCACCTACTCTCTGTTCCCTTTCTTTTGCTTTGCCGACTGCGTATGAAAAAAATAGAAACTTTTATCCATCACATTCATACTGCTACCAGACTGCTACACGAAATTTTCGCTTTTGTCTGTCATGAAAATAGAATTGATGCTTTCCAACTTGAGCAATTCATTCCCATTCCCTTTCAATTGACAAGCTTAAGATGCAATCATTAGGATAACAGGGAAAGGACAGACAAGGAAGACTTAATATTTTACATTACGATTATCCCGAGATTAAATAGAAAGAACCCAAAGCTTGGAATCAAATTATAAAGACAAGATTAGATGAAAAGGAAGTAGATAAAAAGAAACACTGAACATTAAAATATATATATATATATATATATAGAGGTAGAATTTACAGAGTCTCCTACATTGCTATGTCTTTTTCCACTCGCATTATCTGCAAAACACTATTGAAAACCTTGTATTTTGCAGAATGCAATTTTTCCCTACTCTACTAAGCACTCGGTTTTTTATCTTCTCTCTCTCTCTCTTTTTTTCCAGCTTTTTTCCTCGGTCTTACTAATTTCCTAAAGCAGAAGCGGCAATCTCTACCAGCATTGATCCGTCTCCCATCTGCGGGTCGTGTAAAAAACGGAAGCGGAATTCTGAACAGAGGACGACGACACCGGGCGCCTCCTCCCATGAACGGCCATCAGAGAAAGATCGTAGATCGCTCTCGCCGAGGGATCGGAGAGCGTGGCATAGGCGTTGTGGATCTCGATGAAGTCCTGGTCGTCATCGGACTCCGAGCGATGCAGGGCCGAATCAGGATGGTAGATCTTAGCCAAACTCCTATAAGCCGATTTGATCTCCCTCGGCGACGCGTTCTGGCTGACTCGAAGCACCTCGTAGAGGCTCGCCGGCCGCCGAGATGCAACCGCCGCAGATCGGGTCTCGGTAGCAAAAGACCGAATAGAAGCCCTACATTGATGAGGGGAGAACCTGACGGAGGAAGCGGAAGCGCCGTTAGAGGAGGAGGAACGAAGAGGATTGACGGTGGAGAGCGGAAGATTTAGGGTTCCAGTTCCAGCCATAGCGAAATGAACAAGGGAATTAAGAGAGAACGAAGGGGCAAATCCGGAAATGAGAATTGTGATATTGGTTTTGATTGTGCGGGACTGTGAGCTTTAGCTTGCAGTTTGCGAGATATGAGGAGCGGAAGTTGTGAGGAGTATCATATATGGTGGTCAAAGGAGAGGGAAGGGCAAAAGAGTCATTTCTCAGGAACGAGCAGGATTCCAGGGGCACAGAATCATGGGAAGGGAAAGTAAAACCGTGTGTTGGTTGTCGGTTTTCGCATTTCAGAGTGGGGGCGAGAGAGAGGCTGTCTACTTCTTGGCCGATGACGTGTCGACGGCCTTTTGTCTGTGCAGGAAGTTGTTCTAGAAGACTGGTCCACATGAGCCCGGTGTGTGGTTCGCGTGGACCGGACCACCCAGTAGCCACACCGTTTTTATTATCAACTCCTCTTGACTGTACTTTTTCCTGCCCCAAGCATACGCGTAATTTTTTACTGTGATTTAAGTGACTGGGGTAATTCAAATTCTACAGTCTCAACAATATGATATGTAGAAAATCAATCAGCTTTTAATTAGTGTTTCACGTCAGCGAAAGAATTGCAGAGAATAGTATTAGATATGACTTTAGTGACTTGCAATATATTTTACCGAACTCAAAAACTTATGTAAACACTTAATAAAGTATAAAAAGAAAAAATATAATAAAAAGTCAATAATATACTTTATAAACATGATAAAAGATATTTTTTATGTTTTTATAAATGTCTTAATTTAAATTATAAATATCACTAGCTTAAATCAGACTCTTGATATGAGGAGTCAAGCTTAACAAGTGACCATCAATCAATAGTTTGATGAACCTGGAGACATACCCCAATCTTAATATTGCATCACAAACCCAACACATGTTGACTGTTTTTCTTACTAAAAAATGGAAGAGGAAGGAGTAACGGGGGCAATGGGACGCAAGGGGAGGGGGAATGAGGACAGTAAGGATAGGGTGAGGTTGACCGGTAACAAAAGGACCAACGTGGCATGACATGTGTAGTGTGGGTTGATTTCATCCTTATCCTCTCTCTCTCTCTCTCTCTCTCTCTCTCTCTCTCTCACCGTCACACACGCACTGTCCTCGCTCCTGTACACTCGCTCTATCCTCCGTCCCGGCCCTACGTTTTAATGAGCCCGCGGTTCCTTGCCCCCTCCCCGCAGCCCCAAAAAACAAAAAACAAAAAACAAAAAAAAACAAAATAGGGATGGCTCCATTAGTATTTTATATTTTATATTAATATTAATATTCTATTGAAAAATTTTATCCCTGATCTTATTTACAAAACATTTCAACAAGTGATTTCTGTGATTCTTTTTATAAGGCATCATATTCACTATTTCTTGTAGTTCTTTTCCCATTATTTGATGTTGATATAAGATGGTTGAACATCCAATGTAATCTATTTGATATGAGTAAAGCAAAAAAAAAAAATATTTTTACACAGGATTAAAAATTTTAATATGATTATTGATTCCAATGAAAAACTCTAGCGGTGACTTAAAATAGTACTCTTCCTAAACTCCTTGCCCTACAGCGGAGAGAATACGAGATTTTTAGTGGCAGTAATGAAAAAAAAAATATAATCTTTAACTCTTATAATTTTATTGAATTTTATTTTTAATTTTTATAATTTTTAATATTTTAAATCCCTGTAAAAACTAAAAATATTAAAAAATTAAAATTACAGAAACTTAAAAAATAAACATCATACAATTTTTTTAAAATTATAAAAATTAAAAATATTTAAAAAATTAAAAAAATTAAAAATAAAATATGATAAAAGTGCAGAGATTAAAAACTATATTTTCGCTAATAATAATAACTATTACTGCTACAGGTTGGTTAAAAAGTTTGTTTTTGGCGTAAGGCAAAAACAATAAAGAAAATCGTCAATATCAATAGTACAATCATTTTTCATTGAAAAAAAAAAATACTACAGGCATTTCAGAAATTGGATGAGACGATGAATAAAAAAGGTCAGAAGTCATGGTTTTTTAAAATTCAACAGGTTTAACTGATACTTGAATGAGTGACATAATAATTAAATAAAAAATAATATTTATATATATAATAATATATTAATAATAGTATTCTTGTATTACAGTTGTTTAGTCATAATATATTAACTTCTAATTTTATCATTTTTTATATCTACATTTTTTATTTATCTTATTTGTCCTCTCGAAGTAAACGAGTTTTAAAACTTTTTCTACACTCTAGTTTACATAATATTAATAAAAATCATTCACTCAAAATTTTATTATAAAATTTAAATGTAAGTCGATATTAATATTTTTAAGTTAAATACAAACAATTATTTTAAAAATAAGAGTAAAAAGAAACTGCTTCAAAACAGTCCACCGCTTTGAATTTTAGGTTAATCCTAGTTCTATAAAAAAAAAAAAATCTCAATTCAAAACAGGTTAACAAATCAAATCGTATCACTTCTACATTTGGGTAGCGATTCAAGCGGTGGGAGACGGAGAATAGTACTACTACTTGAAGTAGTGGAAAATTTGCAAGGCAAGTGGAATTTTGAGGTGACTATGATGGCAAACCTAAAGAGCAAAGAGATAAGGATTGAGTTAGGGGGAGATAAGGGTCGTTCTAGAAGCTTATACATGAATTGTGGCTCCACTTCATGCTGATGTGGAATTCCTGGTAAGTTGCCGGTCATCTGTCCCGACACTTTCTTATTGGGGCCCACTCCCACGCTCTCTTTCTCTGTCCTCCTCTCTATTCCTTCTAGAAAGATTCTCTTTTTTATTCTTTTAATATTTCCCCCCTCCAATTTTGTATGCAATTCTTGTCCATCAAGTTCGGAAAGAATATTATCACAATAAATAATAGAATATACAACTTCCCAAAGTGTTGGTTCCAATTGTTAAACAACATTTTGCACGGACTTCTTCGCCATTCAATTTAAAGTCATCACAATTCCCAATTTCGTGTGCAATGTAAATTTTTTTTCCATATTTTACCTTTGCAATTTTTAAACTAAATTTCTATGTATGTATATTTCTTATTCATCATGAAATGCTTTAATAATTAAAATTGAAGGTAAAAAAAAACTATATTTTCATAGAAATGATAATTTTATTGATATATAATTTTTTTTAAAAATTGTTTATATTTTAAATCGTAGTGAGTATTATTTTCCTTTCACTTTCAAGAAGCTATCATGCTTGTTTATATTTTTATTAATAATCAGAATATGGGTTTCCAGAAATAATAAGATAAGGTATCACATATAAGGGATAATATCTTAAAAATATAGAAATACACAAAAAATATCATAAAATAACTAAAAATATATATATTATTTCTATGCATACATACACACACGAATATATTCTAAAATTTAAAAAATATTCCTTATAATTGCGATTACAAAAAATTCATTCTTCTTTATATAAAATCTTTAGTTCTCTACGCAATAAATTATTTTTCATACAATGTTTAAAATAAAAAACAAATAAATTACTTTTAAATTTAAAACAATCAATATATAAGCATGATAAAATTTATAAAAAAAATTTATTTATAAATTATCAATAATATTCTCATGAAACAATTATAAATAACACTCCCTCAATTTTAAATTATAAGATACTCTTGAAGGAGATTTAACATTCAAAAATATAAGACATTATAGCAAAAATAAGGTTTCATAAATAATATTTTTTCAATATTATCCTTTCCATATATTTTTTATTTTTAATATTTTTGTATAAATGAAGTATTAAATAAATGATATTTTTTAAATTTTATATTTTTATCTTTAAAATACAAAATTATAAAGTATATTCAATGAGCTTTATTTATACCCATTTAATCATATTTATAAGTCACTTCTAACGTATTTTAATATAAATAAAAATATTAAATTTCATTAATTATATGTAAAAATTTAACTAGTTATCAATTTTGCCCACATTAATTATACATACTTTAATAATATTTTTCTCTCTCTAACATTCAATGGAGGATAAAAGGAGAAATTTATGATAAAAATTTTGATAATGTGACAAAAAAATTCTTTTATCTTTGCTCTTTGAATAAAATCAGAGAGAATATGTATAATTTTATTTAAAAGTATTTTATAATTTAAGAGGGAGAGAGTATGATTTATTGTGTCGAAATAATTAATGTCCATGGAAGCTTCTAATGATTTAAATTATGTAAATTTAGGAGCAGCACATGCATTGACAAACCGACTTTGAACGTGTCACAGGTTGACAATTAATTTTAATAACCTTTTATCATGTCTTTTCCTAAAAAATTCTTTTTCCTTCTTGGCACAGTGGTGTGCCTACTATTTTAATTTACATGCAGACTCAATACGTTAACTTGACATTTTTTCTTTGTTGTTTTATTTTTCTGGGGAGGCGGCAGTTAACTTGAGATGGGCTATTTTATAGTTTATTCTCTTTCGTTTCCTATCATTCTCTCTTTTTAATTTGAGATTAGTTAATTTTTTTTCGTGTTGCTTTCATAGTTTCATTCCGTATTTCGTGCATGATTTTGTGGTTTGGCTGTTATTTTCCTTTAGGCAAGACATGTCAATATTTGTTCATTAAATAGATATTAGGATCTCATATGCTTCATATAAGGGGAGAAAGCTGCATGCAAGTCAAGAAAATTAGTTCGAGTTAATTAAACTTCATTAATTTTTTCTCACCTTCAAAATTTCTCCCAAAATTACCCTTACCTAAATAGTGGAACAAGTGGTGGTTTAAAAAAAAAAAATTAGTGGTATGATGTCTACATACCATTTAACGACCCCTGAGATGCATTACGTGATCTCTCTCGTAATTAATGAAGGGTTAATTTTGGCAAAAAGCAAAATTAATGCACCGTCGTGTTGTCTTACTCTTATATTTTGGACGATTTTGTGAAATCCACATCGGCCCATGGGCTTATTATAGTTAGGCCCAACTCCCCCAACCTTCTTTCCTTTAAGTTTTTTGAAGATCAGTTGACTCAAACAAGCTTCCTAAACTTGGGCCTAGGGTTTAGCCGATAATTCATGTGGGCTTGGTCTCAAAAGATTCAACACCCCAGTTCATGTTTTTACAGAAATTCCA